CGATTCTAACTCATTAGCATGCCACAGGCCTATGGGTCTAACGATCATAACTCACTAGTAAGTCACATACATATAGGTCTAACGATCCTAACTTATTAGCATATCACAGGCATGTAGGTCTAACGATTCTAACTCATTAGCATATCACAGGCATGTAGGTCTAACGATTCTAACTCATTAGCATGTCACAGACCTATAGGCCTAACGATTCTAACTCATTAGCATGTCACAGACCTATAGGTCTAACGATCATAACTCATTATCTCAATTCTACACACAACACCCCATTATGACAACATGATTTATTTATTTTTTGAGATTTTTGCAAATGTATTAAAAATAAAAAACAAATAAACCACATGTACATAAGTATTAACAGCCTTTTCCATGAAGCTCACACTGAGCTCAGGTCCTGTTTCCACGGATCATCCTGAGATATACACCTGTATATATAAGGTCCCACAGAAAGGCATACACCTGTATATACAAGGTCCCACAGAAAGGCACACACCTGTATATACAAGGTCCCACAGAAAGGCACCCACCTGTATATATAAGGTCCTACAGAAAGGCACACACCTGTATATATAAGGTCCCAAAGAAAGGCACACACCTGTATATATAAGGTCCCACAGAAAGGCACACACCTGTATATATAAGGTCCCACAGAAAGGCACACACCTGTATATATAAGGTCCCACAGAAAGGCACACACCTGTATATATAAGGTCCCACAGAAAGGCACACACCTGTATATATAAGGTCCCACAGAAAGGCACGCACCTGTATATATAAGGTCCCACAGAAAGGCACACACCTGTATATATAAGGTCCCACAGAAAGGCACACACCTGTATATATAAGGTCCCACAGAAAGGCACACACCTGTATATATAAGGTCCCACAGAAAGGCACACACCTGTATATATAAGGTCCCACAGAAAGGCACACACCTGTATATATAAGGTCACACACAGAAAGGCACACACCTGTATATATAAGGTCACACAGAAAGGCACCTGTATATATAAGGTCCCACAGAAAGGCACACACCTGTATATACAAGGTCCCCAGAAAGGCACACACCTGTATATATAAGGTCCCACAGAAAGGCACACACCTGTATATATAAGGTCACACAGAAAGGCACACACCTGTATATATAAGGTCCCACAGAAAGGCACACACCTGTATATATAAGGTCCCACAGAAAGGCACACACCTGTATATATAAGGTCCCACAGAAAGGCACACACCTGTATATATAAGGTCCTACAGAAAGGCACACACCTGTATATATAAGGTCCCACAGAAAGGCACACACCTGTATATATAAGGTCCCACAGAAAGGCACACACCTGTATATATAAGGTCCCACAGAAAGGCACACACCTGTATATATAAGGTCCCACAGAAAGGCACACACCTGTATATATAAGGTCCCACAGAAAGGCACACACCTGTATATATAAGGTCCCACAGAAAGGCACACACCTGTATATATAAGGTCCCACAGACAGGCACACACCTGTATATATAAGGTCCCACAGAAAGGCACACACCTGTATATATAAGGTCCCACAGAAAGGCACACACCTGTATATATAAGGTCCCACAGAAAGGCACGCACCTGTATATATAAGGTCACACAGAAAGGCACACACCTGTATATATAAGGTCACACAGAAAGGCACCTGTATATATAAGGTCCCACAGAAAGGCACACACCTGTATATACAAGGTCCCCAGAAAGGCACACACCTGTATATATAAGGTCCCACAGAAAGGCACACACCTGTATATATAAGGTCACACAGAAAGGCACACACCTGTATATATAAGGTCACACAGAAAGGCACCTGTATATATAAGGTCCCACAGAAAGGCACACACCTGTATATACAAGGTCCCCAGAAAGGCACACACCTTGTATATATAAGGTCCCACAGAAAGGCACACACCTGTATATATAAGGTCACACAGAAAGGCACACACCTGTATATATAAGGTCCCACAGAAAGGCACACACCTGTATATATAAGGTCACACAGAAAGGCACACACCTGTATATATAAGGTCCCACAGAAAGGCACACACCTGTATATATAAGGTCCCACAGAAAGGCACACACCTGTATATATAAGGTCCCACAGAAAGGCACACACCTGTATATACAAGGTCCTACAGAAAGGCACACACCTGTATATATAAGGTCCCACAGAAAGGCACACACCTGTATATATAAGGTCCACAGAAAGGCACACACCTGTATATATAAGGTCCACAGAAAGGCACACACCTGTATATATAAGGTCACACAGAAAGGCACACACCTGTATATATAAGGTCCCCAGAAAGGCACACACCTGTATATATAAGGTCCCACAGAAAGGCACACACCTGTATATATAAGGTCCCACAGAAAGGCACACACCTGTATATATAAGGTCCCACAGAAAGGCACACACCTGTATATACAAGGTCCCACAGAAAGGCACACACCTGTATATACAAGGTCCCCAGAAAGGCACACACCTGTATATATAAGGTCCCACAGAAAGGCACACACCTGTATATATAAGGTCCCACAGAAAGGCACCTGTATATATAAGGTCCCAATGAGCACAGAGGCCTCCATCATCCGTAAATGGAAGAAGAACCAGGACTCTTCTTAGGGCTGGCCGGCCTCTGAACTGAGCGATCGGGGGAGAAGGGCCTTAGTCAGGGAGGTGACTAAGAACCCCATGGTCACTTTGTCAGAGCTCCAGCGTTCCTCTGTGGAGAGAGGAGAACCTTCCAGAAGGACAACCATCTCTGCAGCAATCCACAAATCAGGCCTGTGTGGTAGAGTGGCCCGACGGAAGCCACTCCTTAGTTTGGAGTTTGCCAAAAGGCTCCTGAAGGACTCTCTGACCATCAGTAAAAACATTCTCTGGTCTGATGAGACAGAGATTGAAGTCTTTGGCGTGAATGCCAGGCGTCATGTTTGGAGGAAACCAGGCCCTGCTCATCACCGAGCCAATACCATCCCTACAGTGAAGCATGGGGGTGGTAGCATCATGCTGTGGGGATAATACCATCCCTACAGTGAAGCATGGGGGTGGTAGCATCATGCTGTGGGGATAATACCATCCCTACAGTGAAGCATGGGGGTGGTAGCATCATGCTGTGGGGATAATACCATCCCTACAGTGAAGCATGGGGGTGGTAGCATCATGCTGTGGGGATGTTTTTCAGCGGCAGGAACTGGGAGACTAGTCAAGATAGAGGGAAAGATGAATGCAGCAATGTACAGAGACATCCTGGATGAAAACCTGCTCCAGAGCTCCTGACCTCAGACTGGGGCGACGGTTCATCTTTCAGCAGGACAACGACCCTAAGCACAGCCACGATAACAAAGAAGTGGCTTCAGGACAACTCTGTGAATGTCCTTGAGTGGCCCAGAGCCCAGACTTGAATCCAACTGAACATCTCTGGAGAGATCTGAAAATGGCTCTGCACCGACACTCCCCATCCAACTGAATGGAACTTGAGAGATGCTGCAAAGAGGAATGGGCCAAAACTGCCCAAAGACAGGTGTGCCAAGCTTGTGGCATCATAGTCAAAAAGACTTGAGGCTGTAATTGCTCCAAAAGTGCATCAACAAAGTCTTAAGCAAAGGCTGTGAATACTTATGTACATGTGCAACCTTAGTTTTTATTTTTAATAAATTAGCAAGAATCTCAAAAAACCTTTCTTCATGTTGTCATTATGGGCTGTTGTGTAGAATTGTGAGGAAAAAATGAATTGAATCAATTTTGGAATAAACTTGTAACATAACAAAATGTGGAAAAAGTGAAGTGCTGTGAATTCTTTCTGGATGCACTGTATAGGGCTAACGATGCTAACTCATTGGCACGTCACTGATCTTATCTATAGTTAGGGCGTTGTTTTTAGGACGTCGTCATAGATGCAAGGCATTTTGTGTTGCCTAAAGATTCTTTGTAGTTTCTCTGAAACTCCCGCCACATACGGTAAGGACACCCCTCTCCTCCTACTTTCTTCTGTCTGTTGGACTGTGTCTCTGGCCTTTCTCGTCCTTTGGGCTTTAGTAAAAGACCACTTGGGGTAGCCACATCTGGAAAGTGCTCTCTGAACATGTTTGGTTTCTCTGTTCTTTCCCTCCGAGCTTGTGGGGACCTGGTGGGCTCGGTGTTGAAGCGTTCTAATGACCCCGAGTTTGTGTTGTAGCGGATGATTTGAATCAAAGGCCAGGTACTGGTCAGTGTGAGTGGACTTTCTGAAGACCTCAGTCTCTAATTGTCCGTTTTCTTACAATCTAGAAAGGCGAGTTCGCTCTCCTTAGCAAACCTTTTCCTAGTTTGTTTTTCTAATGGGATTCTAGTATCTCCCATTCGAATGTGCAGGCTGGGCCCTGATGGCTCGTAATGGGCTGTTAATTGGTTCAAATATGTTCCTAATGGTTTGGTGCGTTCTTCTAATGGAATTCAAGTATCTCTTACACAAATCTACTGCATCACACAGGACTCGGGATCCTAAAGGAGTCCAATGGCACTGGAGTCTTAATGGTGTAGTCTTATGGTTGTACTGGAAATTGAATGGTAGGTCTAAGCTTTATGTAAGAAATGGCCAAAAATGGCTAAAATAGGTTCTATGAAATATCCACAATAAGTTTAGGGCGTCAACTGTTATGTTTTTGAAGAGCTTTTGAAATGAAAATATCATGGCTAAACTAGGCCAACTGTTGTCTTGTAGTAAATATAACTTATTTAAATTGCAGGTTTAAAAGGACAATATGCAGTTTTCTGGCCCCTATGATCAGCAATCTCCACATCCACGACCTCTTGCATTGGGCCTAAGCATTAGAAATGACATTCAACTGTTCTGAAGAATGGGTCCCCCTGTTCACTGTCAGTGGTGAACTGTGTCTATTGACTGGAATATGACTGGACTGTGCAAAATTCAATATCACTATTGTCTACAGTGTAACTCTGATTGGATTAGACTTTAATGTTTGCAATGCTCTCACTCGATCCTGTGTCTCTTGAGCTGTCGTCGTCATCAATGTCACTTCCCTGTCCTTGATTTGGTTCCTTCCTTGGCTCTTCTCCCCCACTCTACATGAGAAATGAATATCCAAATCAAGAAGCAGCATTTGATGCCATGTAAACAACATATGGTACAGCATTGCTAATTCTACATTTTGACCCCTGTTGGTAAAGTGTGAGACCCTAACCCTAACAATAGGTCAGGGGTAAACATAGAGAGATAATATTATCAGAAGCATTTCCTCCTAATACCTGGTGACTTGCTTATTGGTATTTGTGTGTTTGCATGCGTGTGTGCGTGCACGTGCGTGTGTGTTTGCATGTGTGTGTGCGTGAGTGTGAGTGTGCACGTGTGTGTGTGTTTGCATGCGCGTGTGCGTGAGTGTGTGCGTGCACGTGCGTGTGTGTTTGCATGCGCGTGTGCGTGAGTGTGAGTGTGCACGTGCGTGTGTGCACGTGCGTGCGTGTGCATGTGTGTGTACATGTGTGTGTACATGTATGTGTACATGTGTGTGTACATGTGTGTGTACATGTGTGTGTGTACATGTGTGTGTACATGTGTGTGTACATGTGTGTGTACATGTGTGTGTACATGTGTGTGTACATGTGTGTGTGTACATGTGTGTGTACATGTGTGTGTACATGTGTGTGTACATGTGTGTGTACATGTGTGTGTACATGTGTGTGTACATGTGTGTGTACATGTGTGTGTGTACATGTGTGTGTGTACATGTGTGTGTACATGTGTGTGTACATGTGTGTGTGTACATGTGTGTGTACATGTGTGTGTGTACATGTGTGTGTGTACATGTGTGTGTGTACATGTGTGTGTACATGTGTGTGTACATGTGTGTGTGTGTGTACATGTGTATGTGTACATGTGTGTGTACATGTGTGTGTACATGTGTGTGTACATGTGTGTGTGTACATGTGTGTGTACATGTGTGTGTGTACATGTGTGTGTACATGTGTATGTGTACATGTGTGTGTACATGTGTGTGTGTACATGTGTGTGTACATGTGTGTGTACATGTGTGTGTGTACATGTGTGTGTGTACATGTGTGTGTACATGTGTGTGTACATGTGTGTGTACATGTGTGTGTACATGTGTGTGTACATGTGTGTGTACATGTGTGTGTGTACAGTCTTTCTTACATGTTCTGACGAGTAGTCCTCATTCGTCACAGTCACTTTCTCTGGGATATGTTCCTGGTCTTGTCTCTGTCTCTAAGTGACACAAATGAACAAAATATTGTGAGCAATCCACTTGATGAAACCTAATCACGTTTTGATAAATAATTGCCAATATGACCATGTAGGATGTCTTACAGAACATGTTGGCCTAGGGTCATGTGAAGCATGATCCAGATCCAGATGTTGTGGGTTCTTCCTTTTTGGCATTCTGTGGAGATAACAGATAACTATATCAATGGTATTTATGGGGTTAAAGTACCTGGGACAGAGTAGTAACAGGTGGGGGGTCATGTGGGATCTGAACCCAGGACCTCTCCTGTTACTACTCTGTGTAACCTGTGATTGTAAGTACTCTAAGAGTCCATTAGCCCTGGTAAGATGTATTTGTCACAACTGGCATTGAATCACTCATATGGAGGACCGTGGCTGCCAAAACAATAAATATATACAGAAATAAATAAATACATTTAAAAAAGATAAAATTTGCAAAGAAATGCATGCAATTATGAGAATAAGTGCATTTATTTCTGTATTTATTTAGTTATATATTTATTTATGTATTTTTGTATTTATTCATACATTTATTTCTCTATTTATTTTTGTATTTATTTATTTATTTCTCTATTTATTTATTTTTGTATTTATTTATTTATCTATTTTTGTATTTATTTATTTATTTCTCTATTTATTTATTTTTTTCTCTATTTATTTACTTTTTTCTCTATTTATTTACTTTTTTCTGTATTTATTTATTCATTTCTGTATTTTTTTTGTGTATTTATTTCCGTATTTCTCTTAATGATATGCAAGTCATGGGGTGGGCTGGGATGCCTCTGCTGTAAGCTCATTGGTTAATCTTTTTCCTTGCTCCATAGCTTGTCCAGCATAGGCGGTCATGTTGAGATCACTGTGTTCTTTTCAGACTATTAACATGAAAAGAGAGAACAGGTCAAATTCCAAAAATATTAGGGCGCTTTGAGGTGCTCACAAACAGCCTACGCGATACGCAGGTGTACGCCGTAAAGCCACGAGAAGTCACTACAAATTGGGCAAAGATAGGCTACGTATCACTCATTTGCGCAGTGTTACTTTTGCGCTTTCTGCCGGATTAAAGACCAGCCCAAACTCCACAACAAGTAACTATTTCCTCCCATGACACCAAGAGAGGGGACCAGTGTCATCCCTCTCTCACTTTCTCAGGCACGGTTCCCTCTAACTGCGCTCCCGTGTTGTCTGGGCACAAAATAAAACATAGCTGATATGATAGAGGAGTATTAACGATCATCCTCCGCTCTGAGAGTCCACGATGTCGGCCTCTTTATGCTCATCTCCCTGTCCGGCTCGTGAGAGGCTTTTGGCAAAGGCACTGACAGGTGCTCGTCACTGCCGAACTCCGCCGAAAAACCCCGCGTTCGAAGTGTGTGTTTTACACTCAGACACTTGAGCTTTCAGTGAAGGCTGAGAGAGACTGAAAAGTGGACGCCACAGCACTGACCGAGCCATATTCATGGTACAAACGGTGGCGCGAGTGTGGAGATCTCAACGGCCCAGTCCCAATACCCAGACTGCACCCTCCTATGGAGTGTGCATTTGTTTGAAGTGCACGCAAGGGTTTGAGTGGCAGGTTGCAAGTGTGCACAAAAGTCGGGATTGGGACAGTGCACACTGAGAGCAGGTGACGTCATCGACTCGTCAGAGATGGTCATTTTCAGACCTAAACTTTATAAACATTAAAGGTCATTTTGTCTGACCCTGTGGGAAACAAAATGAATTGCTTCACACACGTTAAAATACATGTATATTAGTGGTTTTTAATTAGAGATAGCTGTATAATTTAAAGTTAAATGTGGGTAACTAACTATCTGGTCAGTTTTTATACATCCTAAGATTATTGTAATAAGTGTAAAGTTTAAATTGAATCCGTAATTCTTCATCAGACGTTTATGCTTCTTTCCAAATAACAGCAAAACTTATTTACACACATACTGCAGATATATTTCAAAATGTATATTTAAATGCATTTTCCCGACGTTTTGGTGTGTACCGCAAAGAATTATGGGCAATATCCTTCGCCAGAGTGCGCATAGATGCAGGCTACGGCGACGTGTAGATCAGGGGCACAAAGGGGGCGGGGCCAAAGACCTCCCTGGAGGATTGGGACTGTACCCTACGCACTCGCACCCTTTATCGGGAACGCGCAAATGAGGGGCGCGAGGTGGAAGTGCGAGTATTGGGACGGGGCCAACATGACCGCCTATTCTGGACAAGCTATGGAGCAAGGAAAAAGATTAACCAATGAGCTTACAGCAGAGGCATCCCGGCCCACCCCATGACTTGCATATCATTAAGAGAAATACGGAAATAAATACAGAAATAAATACAGAAATAAATACAGAAATAAATAAATACAGAAATAAATAAATACAGAAATAAATAAATACATAGAGAAAAAAACAAATAAATAGAGAAAAAAAATAGAGAAAAAAAAAAATAGAGAAAAAAAAATAGAGAAAAAAATAAATAAATAGAGAAATAAATAGATAAATGCAAAAATAAAGAAATAAATAGAGAAATAAATAAATAAATGCAAAAATAAATAAATAAATAGATAAATAAATAAATAAATACAAAAATAAATACATAAATACAAAAATAAATAAATAAATAAATAAATACAGAAATAAATGCACTTATTCTCATAATTGCATGAATTTCTTTGCAAATGTTATTTTTTTTAAATGTATTTATTTATTTATTTATTTCTGTATATATTTATTGTTTTGGCAGCCACTCAGTGTAAAAAAAACAGGAAGTGTGACCGAGCTTTTGTCCTTGAATGCTTTTAAATGAAAATTCAGAGTTTTTGAGTTTTTACACACATCAAGTAAACAATCACCTGTAAATGTTTTACTTGATGTGTGTCGTCTTAACCTGTCATTTGTCATGTAATTGTATCTGTCTGTTGTGTTTATGTGTAACTTTGCTGCCTCTTGGCCAGGACTCCCTTAAAAAAAAGGTTCTTAATCTCAATGGGATTATTCCTGGTTAAATAACAGTTAAATAAGACTCAGCGACAGGGCGACAGTAGCTCAGTTGGTAGAGCATTGGCCTTCAGGCCTGAAGGTCGTGGGTTCTATTCCCACCTCTACACCTTCTCCACCAACTCCCACTGATGACTGCTGTCGTTGTGTCCTTGGGCAAGACACTTAACCCCACTTTGCCCAAAGCCCCCACTGAAGGTTCAAGGCTATGCTCACAGTCAGAGAGCAGCCGTCCTCCTGTGGACTCACCACCTGCAGAGGGTCAGTGAGGGGCTGGTGCTATGAGACTTGGGTGGCATCTCTGACTGCCACCCCCCTGACCCAGAAATGGAATAAAGGGAAGAAAATGGATGGATGGATGGATAAATAAGACTGGTCTGATTAAAAGAACCTTCCAAGCCTAAAACATAAGAAAACAAAATGAACTTTTTACATTTATTTTGTTGTTTTAGTGTGAAAGGAGTTGTCTCAATAAAGGGACTTTGCTGAACTGTCTCCTCATTTACGACTTCTACACTTTAAACAAACACTGGATTTCTTAGTGTTCTCGTTCCTCTCCTTCTCGTCCTTACAATAAACCTACTCCTTAAAGGTATCAGGTAACCCCCATTAAACATCTTAAATCCGTTGCGGCTCCAAACGTTTGAGAACCACTGCACTATAGCAACTAACACTAACCCTAACCCAGAACATTCATTCATTACAGATTTCGTAGAGACCTTAAGGCCAACACTGAAAAAACACCAATTCCACAAATAAAATCCACCTTAAACCAGCTCCGGAGCAGACCGTTTGATATAGTCTGCTGTGGGAACCATATCATTTATCACCAATCTGGTCTAATATGGTCCAAGATTCACAGTGAGTAGGATTATGATCGGGACACTCACCTCAGTGGGACAGGTGAAGACTGCAGAACCTCCAACCTCCACTGAAGCTCCACTCGAGTGAACAGAGTCTGCAGGGTGTGGTGAATATAAATGTGTCCAATATGCAAAACAGCACAAGGAGAAAGCAAAAGTTAGCTTCAGAAGCAGATGGCACAGACAGGGTTTCTCACTGATCTGGGGTCAGCTCTGTCTCTCAGTCCAAAAGCAGAAGTCTGTTCAAGCACAACAAAGACAAGAGCCTAAAGTCTCCAAAAACATGATCAATTGATGTTTCCAAAGTTCTAATTATTCTACAAAAATGAAATGTGGTTCATGTAAATATGACAGATATTTTATTACAATCCCTGTTCCAAAGTATTAGAGCTAAGTCATCACAGCAGTCTCCCCCCTGGACTGAGTTTGAGTACTCGGATGATCCTGGGAGCTATGCTGTCTGGGGCTTCATGCCCCTGGTAGGGTCTCCCATGGCAGACAGGTCTCAGGTGACGAGTCAGACGAAGAGTGGTCCGAAGCCAACCATGGACAGCACGAATATGACAACAGTGACGTCGGGTTGGGGCTCGTATGCGAGCGCCTGGTGGCCGGGCCTTAGCCCACTGGGCCCGGCCGAAAGGACGATGTGGGCACAGGAGGGCCCTCCTGTGCACCGAACCACCACAGAGGGGTCCGTGGTGGTTCGGTGCTGAGAGGACTAGGCAGCAGTCGAAGGTGGAGATCTCGGCGACCCAGTCCACACACGCAACATCTGGCTCTTAGGACGTGGAACGTCACCTCACTGGGGGGGAAGGAGCCCGAGCTCGTTGAGAGATACCGACTAGAGATAGTCGGCCTCACCTCCACACACAGCTTGGGCTTTGAACCCAACTCCTTGAGAGGGTTGGACGCTCCGCTTTTCTGGTGTTTTTCGCGGGGAGAGGCGGCCATTCTCATTGCCCCCCATCTCAGCTCCGTGTGTTGGAGTTCTCCCCGGTGAATGAGAGGGTCACATCCCTCCGCCTTCGGGTGGGGGACAAGTCTCTCACTGTTGTTGTGCCTACGGGCCTAACAGCAGTGCAGAGTACCCGGCCTTCTTGGAGTCCTTGGGAGGGGTTCTGGACGGTGCACCGCCCGGGGACCGTTATTCTCCTGGGGGACTTCAACGCCTATTTGTGGGGGACGCCAGTGACACTTGGAGAGGGGTGAAGGGGAAGAACGGCCCTAATCTGAACCCGAGCGGTGCTCAGTTGTTGGACTTCTGTGCTAGTCACAGTTTGTCCATCACAAACACCATGTTCCAGCACAAGGGTGTCCACCAGGGGGCGCCAGGACCTGAGGCCGGAGGTCGATGATCCACTTTGTTGTCGTATCATCTGACCTTCGACCGCGTGTCTCGGACACTCGGGTGAAGAGAGGGGCGGAGCTAAAGAGAGGGGCGGAGCTGTCGACCGATCACCACCTGGTCGTGAGTTGGATCCGCTGGCAGGGGAGGAAGCCGGTCAGACCTGGCAGACCCAAGCGTGTAGTGAGGGTCTGCTGGGAACGTCTCGCTGAGCCCCCTGTCAGACGGATTTTCAACTCACACCTCCGGGAGAGCTTCTCCCAGGTCCCGGTGGAGGAGGGGGACATGGAGTCCGAGTGGACCATGTTCTCTTCCTCTATCGCCGATGCGGCGGCTCGTAGCTGTGGTCGCAAGGTCTCTGGTGCTGGTCCCGGCAGCAACCCCCGAACCCGATGGTGGACACCGGCAGTAAGGGATGCTGTCAGACTGTAGAAGGAGTCCTATCGAGCCATGATGGTTCGTCTCTCTCTACAAGAAGGGGGGTCACACTCCTCAGCCTCCCCGGTAAGGTCTACTCCAAGGTACTGGAGAGGAGGCTACGGCCGATGGTCAAATCTCGGATTCAGGAGGAGCAGTCCTTCGTCCTCCTGGGTTGGTCACAGGATGTCATAAATACACATGTCATTCAATAATCTTGTAGACCAGTCCTGGTTAAACTCCATATCTCTGAGTCTGAGCCTGAGGGTCTCACTCTACAGGCTCTTATTGTCCTTCCAGGATGTCCACATCCCCATTGATCATCTCTCTCTGGTCTCTCTGGTCTCCCTCTGGTCTCTCTGGCCTCTCTCCGGTCTCTCTCTGGTCTCTCTGGTCTCTCTCTGGTCTCTCTCTGGTCTCTCCCTGGTCTCCCTCTGGTCTCTCTCTGGTCTCTCTCTGGTCTCTCTCTCTGGTCTCTCTCTGGTCTCTCTCTGGTCTCCCTCTGGTCCCTCTCTGGTCTCTATCTGGTCTCTCTGGTCTCTCTGGCCTCTCTCTGGTGTCTCTCTGGCCTCTCTCTGGTCTCTCTCTGGTCTCTCTCTGGTCTCTCTCTGGTCTCTCTCTGGTCTCTCTCTGGTCTCTCTCTGGTCTCTCTCTGGTCTCTCTCTGGTCTCTCTCTCTGGCCTCTCTCTGGTCTCTCTCTGGTCTCTCTCTGGTCTCTCTCTGGTCTCTCTCTGGTCTCTCTCTCTGGTCTCTCTCTCTGGTCTCTCTCTGGTCTCTCTCTGGTCTCCCTCTGGTCTCTCTCTGGTCTCTCTCTGGTCTCTCTCTCTGGTCTCTCTCTGGTCTCTCTCTCTGGTCTCTCTCTGCTCTCTCTCTGGTCTCTCTCTGGTCTCTGGAGGAGCATTGTCCATCTATATACAGTCTATGATCCAAATAATGACTCAGCACATATTGTACATGAGAGCATTTCATGATGTCCAAGTAAGAGTAAGAGTGACCGTGCTGCTTAAGTCAAATGTCACAATCTCATTTGCATTTGTGCCTTCATTTGATAATCAAATCACAATCAAACTAGTGCCACACAGCTCCTTGTAGACGAGAAAGATCACAACGGCAGAAATGAAACTGTATTCTGAAACTAATGTCATGTTTTCCCAGTGTTTTAAATAATAATAATAATAATAATAATACAGATCTATCGTATTAGTTCACTGAGGCTATATCCACACGAAGACAAAACGCTTATAATTTCAGAAACTTTTTCTGTAAACACGGAGTTAGCTCAGTAAATGTGTGCGTCCATATGAATGTAGTCAATACGCCTGAAAACGCTGTGAAACTATGCCAGACCTGTTGGTGGCGCTGTGACGCAATGACGGGATCAAGCCCAAACTTCCGTGACGGGAACTGGGCATGTGCAGAATGTTGTAAACAGACAACATGGCGAGTGGGCGAGCTGGTACTACATTAGTATGGACGGACGATGAGGTTGAACTGTTGCTTCGGGTCGCACTGGATTACAAAACCAACAAGCTACATTGTTGTTGTTATTATTTTGTGAGTGCGGCGCATGCGTGCTTTAACAAGAGGCGGGGCGATGACGCAAGCGTCTCAGATACATTGCGGAGAGGCAGTAACCACGGAGCGGCATATACGGAGTTTTGAAATCTTTCCACTCTGGGACCTACTTTCAAAAATGTTCGTTTACACCCCCCCAAAACGCCGGCCTCGTATGGACGATACACTGGATTGATAAAGCATTTTTGCGTTTAGGCCTGAGCTTGACTTCGTGTGGACAAGGCCTAAATCCAACAGTGGATGCAAAACAACTTCCTTCAGCTAAACTCAGACAAAACTGAAATGAGAGCATCATCTGTCACAGTCTCTCTCCCTTCAAATCTATAATATAATATATAATATAATATATATAATACTGGACTTAAACTTTAGCATCACATCAAATCAGCAACATCAGCAGCTTTTTACTATTTAAAAAACATAGGATCAAAAACATAGTGTCTAAAGCAGAGTTGGAGATTCTCATCCTGGTTTTCTCTGGTCTCTCTCTGGTCTCTCTCTGGTCTCTCTCTGGTCTCTCTCTGGTCTCTCTCTGGTCTCTCTCTGGTCTCTCTCTGGTCTCTCTCTGGTCTCTCTGGCCTCTCTCTGGTCTCTCTCTGGTCTCTCTCTGGTCTCTCTCTGGTCTCTCTCTGGTTTATCTCTGGTCTTTCTCTGGTCTCTCTCTGGTCTCTCTCTGATCTCTCTCTGGTCTCTCTCTGGCCTCTCTCTGGTCTCTCTCTGGTCTCTCTCTGGTCTCTCTTGTCTCTTTGGTCTCTCTGGTCTCTCTCTGGTCTCTCTCTGGTCTCTCTCTGGTCTCTCTCTCTGGTCTCTCTCTGGTCTCCCTCTGGTCTCCCTCTGGTCTCTCTCTGGTCTCTCTCTGGTCTCTCTCTGGTCTCTCTCTGGCCTCTCTCTGGTCTCCCTCTGGTCTCCCTCTGGTCTCTCTCTGGTCTCCCTCAGGTCTCTCTCTGGTCTCTCTCTGGTCTCTCTCAGGTTTCTCTCTGGTCTCTCTCTGGTCCCTCTGGTTTCTCTCTGGTATCTCTGGTCTCTCTGGCCTCTCTCTGGTCTCTCTCTGGTCTCTCTCTGGTCTCTCTCTAGTCTCCCTCTGGTCTCTCTCTGGTCTCTCTCTGGCCTCTCTCTGGCCTCTCTCTGGCCTCTCTCTGGCCTCTCTCTGGTCTCTCTCTGGCCTCTCTCTGGTCTCTCTCTGGTCTCTCTCTGGTCTATCTCTGGTCTCTCTCTGGTCTCTCTCTGGTCTCTCTCTGGTCTATCTCTGGTCTCTCTCTGGTCTCTCTCTGGCCTCTCTCTGGTCTCTCTCTGGTCTCTCTCTCTCTCTGGTCTCTCTCTGGTCTCTCTCTGGTCTCTCTCTGGCCTCTCTCTGCTCTCTCTCTCTCTCTCTGGTCTCTCTCTGGTCTCTCTGGTCTCTCTCTGGTCTCTCTGGTCTCTCTCTGGTCTCTCTCTGGTCTCTCTCTGGTCTCTCTCTGGTCTCTCTCTGGTCTCTCTCTGGCTCTCTGGTCTCTCTCTGGTCTCTCTCTGGTCTCTCTCTGGTCTCTCTCTGGTCTCTCTCTGGTCTCTCTCTGGTCTCTCTCTGGCCTCTCTCTGGTCTCTCTCTGGTCTCTCTCTGGTCTCTCTCTGGTCTCTCTCTGGTCTCTCTCTGGTCTCTCTCTGGTCTCTCTCTGGTCTCTCTCTGGTCTCTCTCTGGTCTCTCTCTGGCCTCTCTCTGGTCTCTCTCTGGTCTCTCTCTGGTCTCTCTCTGGTCTCTCTCTGGT